GGCCCACTGTCATTTGCAAAAAGCTGTTGCGGTGTCCCTGCCCTCATGGGGAAAGCTAACAAATACATTAGTAAATAAATAATAACTACCCATAATCCTTTCCGGTCTGAGCTTTGTAGTTGAAATAAATGAAATAGGTGAAATAGGCATATTCGATATTCTAAGATGCCAATGGATGCGATGATGTGTGGACGCAATGCTTCGAAGGTTTTTCTCCGGTTTCTCCGGTTTTTCCTACAGTAGCTAGAGCTCTCTCCGTAAAAACCAACTTCTAAATTCTAATTCGGACTAGCTTTATCAAGTGGGATGCAAACCTAGTCTCCCCCACAGCCGCTTTCAGTGTCGTCACGCAATGCTTTCTTCCCTGAGTAGCTACTCACTGAAAGCGGCTGTGGGGGAGACTAATGCAAACCCGGCTGGGCTTCCCGTCCACCATGGAGTGGTAAATCCGATTAGATTTCTTTTTTTAGTTTAGAATAGCGTCAGCCATCTCAAAGCAATCATGAAAATCATAACTTTTGTACTGTTGTTTTACTAACAAACTAATCCTTTGGTCGATTCCCGTCAAGGGCATTTGATATTTTTCTCTTATCTCTAGTCTATAGAGTACTCAAGTGTCACGAAAAATGAATTTTCGCTTGATCATATTTTTGGTTAACAATTTCGATATACAATCGAAAAAGACGTCTAAACACCAAATTTGACGAGAATCAAACAAATGTCAGCTGAGATATGGTCATGTGAATATATGATTACCTCATACGAATCACGGTATTTTCGGCTTTTAGGTCAAAACGTTTTGAACTAAAGCCGAAAATACCGTGATTCGTATGAGGTAATCATATATTCACATGACCATATCTCTTCTGATATTTGACAAATTATTGTTGGAATTGGTTTGCTATTGTGTTCAGTCTTACATAAAAGGTTCATTTGGAATACGTCATAACGCTTAAAAAAGCTTTTTACACCGCTTCCCTATGGTGTGACGTCAATAAAAACAGAAATTAACCGGGTTTTTTTCCAGGGCTTTTTATAGACTTTTTAAATAAGGAACTGATATCGTCACTTCTTGTTCTTTGAGGGAGGTTTAAATATCGAAAGCAATTTTCTTTTAAGTGCTTTTTTAAAGTGAGGAACATAATGTGACCCGGAAATACAGATCCATACATTATTCTTTATTTATTTATCTTATTAGATTATTAAAATTAGACAGGAAAAGAGCTACAACAACGGCAACAACCACCAAAATGCAACGCTATATTGTAATTGCCTTAGTATGACAAGATAAGCATATAGATTCCCATTTGTTATCTTTTATCTTATAGTGACATATGAGGAAATTCAAACACGCTTAACATGAGACTGAAGGAGAAGATTTATAGTACCTTACAACCTTCCTATAATATACAGTATTAAGTCAGGGAAAAGGGCGTTAATGGCCCATAAATCAACTTCATGGTGATGTTATGATGGACATTCGAAGTAATATAGTAACAATAAAATTCTAGATTAAAAATGGTTCTTTGAATGATACGCTTTTAATAAGAAATTCTGGTTTCTTTCATTCTTTTTTTTTTTTTTTTAAATAGCTTTGCCCTGGATATCATAGCGAGCGAAGATATGATACAGAAAATAAGGAATAAGACGAGGCATGTGAATCGGAAATAGAACTCATGCACGAAATACTGAAGTATAATGGCAAATTCAAATTAAATATGTACGACCAAAGGTGTTTTTTACTTTTTTTATTTTGTTGTTTTGACGTGTCCGGCTACAACAGCAACAAGAACTCACCTGTACTCATGACGCATTGATCATGGCTTCCTGACAAACTGCCGCAAAACAATTTTTGTTAATGTGTATGGATAGCATTTTTAAACCCGAAATGATAATTTTGAATCGTTTAAGATTTGTTTATGTAATCTTTGATAATCCTTTATACGACTTTTATTGTAAGCGATGCTTATTTGGTTGGCAATTTTGTTTTCGTTGATTAAAAATCTATTTTTCTGGCATGATTATTATCTGACATGGATGATTCGGCTTCCCAGAGACAATAGCACAAACACATGCAAATCATTTCATCCTAGTGTCTTTTGATGAAAAGATTTTGAATATGTAAATTTGAATAATGCTGCATTGACTAAACACTGTGATGGCTTGTCGATTGGCTGAACACACAAAACCTTTTGCCAATATTCTAATCCACAAATTATCCTTTTGCAGCGAAAATCACACATTATGAGTCAACCGACAAAGAAAGAAAATCTTTGACAAGTATGTTGGAGAGGTTTCCTCATGAAATTCAGTCCAAGTATCTCGTCAGATGGCTTTAGGGTTACCTGGCTGACAGCTTGTCAGGCGATCTCGAACTATAGAGGAATTTTTGATCAAGCTTATGCTTATGTGGTCGGCTAGGCAACGATAAATGTGGTCAACTGGACTGGAAAGTAATCATAATAGAGTAAAGGCAGCGACAGGCAAAGGGCTATCGAGCAATGAAGAAGATCTAGGGGACATAAACATTAGTTTCTATAGCGGTGAAGTGCTAGGCAGAAAGGAATGGATGCGATCGATTTACGAGAGGAAAGATAATACCACCAAAGATGTTCTTGCCAGTACGAACGCCAGTGATATAGAATATATAACCAACTTTCCACTTAAAAAGTCTGAAAAAAAGCCCTTGGAAATGACAAGAGGGAGAAAGCACTTGACGAGGCATTTTACTGATGAGTTGCTGTTGGAAAATAAACCCGATGAAAGCATTCGAACGGTGAAAATCGAGAGAACTCAAAGTGATCCTTTGGGTTTCTACATAAGGCAAGGAGATGGATTTATGAACAAGACTGGAATCTTCGTATCTCGTATTTTAAGTGGAAGTCTCGTAGAGAATATTGGAGTTTTGAAAACTGGAGATGAAATTTTGAAGGTAAATCATGTTGACGTGAGGGGCTTGTGTCTCAGCGATATCGTAAAATTAATTCAAGTTCCTAAGCTTCTAATTCTTACAGTACGTCTGTCAAGCAGCCAAAAACACTCTCGACCCAAACTCTCATCACGCCACAGCTCTCCAAGTTTAATATCAGCTGAAGAAAAAGATCCTAAGAAATCTTATAAATCCAAAACGAAAAGCAAACATTCTCAAACTGATAGTTTTTACCAAATGACAGCAAACAATGAGGAGAAAAATAAACAACGAGACGATCGCGAGTACCACATGAATACAAATAAGCCTTCTTTTGACCTTTCTAAAAATAGTTCCGCTACTGAGGATCTTGTTTTGCTGTTACAAGCTGGAAAACAAGACATTGGGAAAGTAACTTACGAGCATGGAAGTACAAGAAAACTGGAAAGAAGCTCAACATTTACAACTGAAAAAGAAAACGACAAAATTGACTCTGTTTATGCTAAACCAAGACCTAACTTTGACAGGTTGGTGTCTGTCAGCTCTCAACAACAAATTAATGAAAGATCGTCAAAAGCTGTACAAAAAATAGCGAGTACTCTTATCCCATCCACAACAGTGAACCTTCTGTTCGATGATGAAGAAACGCAAACCAGCAGCACTACAACCAATCCATACTCTCAATCTGTACAACTAAATAAACCGCAAATGAACTTGACTTGTGATGGTGCAGCAACAGCAAAAAGTCAAAGCCGTCACGCCAAAATTGATACTTTAAAAGTTACCTCACCGGAAAAGTCATCCCGTAGTCGGTCTAGTTCTCGGGGTAGTTCTCCTGGAGGGAGCCCTGCGGTAAGACGTAGACTCCCTTCCATTCCACAAGAGATTGAAGCAGCTAAGAAAAAACACCCAGTAAACGAGTCTACTTCAACAAAAAAGCACCTTTTGATGCCAGGCAATGCAGAGCATAAACCTCACAGAAAACTCCCAACTCCTCCTGCATCTCCTGTCATAGGGTACAAGGGCCAAGGACGTCTGTCTGACTCTTCAGTGGAACAAACGGTACCTCGTTCACCCGGCGTACAAAAGCAACAGAACAAACCCGATCAAAATGCATCTAGTTTGAGTGAAGCAGGGTCATCTAAGATAGAGACAAAGGCACCAGATAAGCCGGCACTTGGAAAAACCGATAATAGTAATAACAATAACAAACTTGATCACGTGCAAAATGACAACAAAGATCCCAAAAATGAAGATGGATCGAAAAACGAAACGAACGATAAAGCTAAGACCCAAGAACACTTAAAAACCGGTGCTCGTGCTGTAAAACCTACGCCTTACAGAAGGAGTCAATCTCAGTACTCAGATTTCTTTGAACAACAAAGACATTCCATGTTCTTACACTCTTATGCATTTGGTACATTGAAAGCTACCTCACAAGCCTCTAGAAATGCCATTAAAGCCCATTCTACAGAAAGTTATGATATCCCTTCTGAGGCGGAAGATTTGTCAAGCACTTTTCCAAGAAAAAGAGTGTTTTCTGAAGTTACTGCAGGGAGGTCCGTCCAGGAGAAAGAGAAAATAAGATTTAGACTACCGACCGGTCGTTCACCAGGTGCCATGCGCAGACACGCAAGTTCATCGCTGTTGTTTAGCAAATCAAGCTCCATTGATTCAGCAACTGGCAAAGATATCAAACTGGAGACCCAGCCAGGGTTTCTGTTGTATCCGGATGACTACAAAGATGAAGACTTGTCATGTTCTCATGCTGTATCAGGAATGATGAAAGTACGAGTAATAAAAGCTACAAACCTTTACTTTAACGATAAAAAACAAACCAAGAAGATTTACTGTGCTATAGAAGTTGACTTTGAGAGAAAAGCTTTTACTGCTGCGAAGAAAGCTACGAAGAATCCAAACTGGGACGAAGTCTTCGACATTGAAATCCAGCACGGGAGAGAAATGACTCTCATGTGCTGCAGCTCGAACAAAGAGTTTGACAAACATGTCGGTCGTTCGTCATTCTATCTCACACCACTCGTTCGTAGAGGGCAGATACACCAGATGATCATAAGGCTTAAACCAGAGGGTTTGTTATATGCAGAACTTGAGTTTACTGAGCTCAAAACCCTTCTAAAGCGAGCTCCCTCTGGTAAGCAAACAGGTGTCTTTGGTTTTAATATTTCTGTAACTTCTGAGACGGAGCGCTCAAGTATTCCTCACATCGTAAGAAAATGTGTAGAGGAGATCGAGAAGCGAGGGATTCAGTCAGTGGGACTGTATAGGATATCTGGGAATGCGAGACGTAAGGAACAGCTAAGGACACAGTTTGATGAAGATAGTACCCACGTTGATATCTCTACTGATAACTGTCCAGATGTAAATGTAATCACTGGAATTCTAAAGGACTATTTGAGGGAACTCCCAGAACCTTTGATTACAGATAAGATGTCGCAGGACCTTATTCTTGGGGTGCAAGACAACATACAAGAAAAGAGCCCTGACATGCAGAAAAAGTTTTTATCCAAGTTATTATCTGAACTTCCCAACTCTAACAGGAACACATTAATTTACATTTTGAATCACCTTTGTCGTGTGATCAATGAAGAACAGAATAAGATGGACTGTAAAAGCCTGTCTGTATGTGTTGCTCCTGTTCTACAGTGTTCACCGAAAAATCTGTCTGAATCGAAAGATTTACTAAATCTTAAAATGTACCTGACGACTGTTGAAGTATTACTCGATATGTGGAACCGTCTTGAAGTAAGAATAAACTGAACACAAATGATCTCCTTTTTTGTCCCCTTTGTAAATAATTTATGATAATCGCTCTATTTTTCTGACTGCCTTTCGACGAATTGTTTTTACAAAGGAAAAGGAGTATTTTAAGGTGGCTGCCTATTTTTGAACGTTCGAATTGAGCCCACGATGAGCGCGCGCTCAAAAACCGCTGAAAAATCTACAAGATTTTATTGAAGAACCATACGCGTTTTGAGCTTCAACAGGGCAAAACCCTCAAATTTTGCACGGGACTCTATATTTTTTAATAGCTCATTCGAGAAAACTCCAACAAATCTAGGTTATATCAACATTTTAGAAAAAGTTTAAATCAGTAACACATGAAAAAATAGATTTTTGTAGGGATTTTTGTTCGACTTTATGAGATTTTTTAAGAGCACCAAAACTACAAAATATGACAAATCAATGTATCTCTTTGTCTTTTTGTCGAAAATATCCATGTGTTATTGTAGAATGATTGTCTAGCCTTCATTCGTGCAATCATATAGTCTGCAAATAACTATCATCTTATGAATTTTAATTTTTTTCTAATCACTTCCGGTGGCGCAATTTTTACTCCAAAAGCTCGTGCGCAGGCTACCATTAAATGCTGATTATCTCGAAAACGAGCTCGGGACACCCAATTTTTCTTTTCAGATTTGGAATCAGCATTAAATTTTAATTCGGAAAATCGAAGTTTTAAAAAAAGTTTAAATCATTTTTCAAAAGTAGGCAGTCACCTTAAACGAAAGTAGTGGAATTATCTAGAATTATTTTTTTAGAATTAAGTGCCAAATAATGAATCAGCAAATTAGCGATTAAACAGGTTTATGCCGGCAAGTTAACATGTTATTGTTGACAGGCAAATACTACATTTCATAAAGTACATAATCGGTACAAAATCGCGCGCAGCCCTGGGAAAAAGCCCTATTGTGATCAACTAACTGCGCATGCGTAATATGGGTCAGTATAAAAATCATGAAGCCAAGCTTAAAGTAAGGCACTAGCATCATTATAAGTGCTGCCAAGTCTTCGCTGCATATAGATATTTTCTTACTAATACGACTTTACGTTGAGGAGAGAGGAGTGTCTTAATTGCGGCCAGAGAACTAGAACCAAGGACACATGGCATCAAAGTGGCTTTGAACCTTGGTAAATGTTAACCCTCTCTCATATCTTCATTTCAAAGATTCGTCGTTTTATTTCATTCATTACTTATTCAAATTTGTTTGTCGTCTTTATAAAGCTAATCTTATTACCAGCTGCTTATAAAGACTTTCAGCTCACAAGAAATTCATAAATAACAATAATGACTTTCATATTATATCGCATTTCACTATGGATATGCTGACATGCGCGCAATACTGTTTTGGGGGTAATGCAATATGGCCGCATACTCTAGCTTACTTTGATTGAATTTAGTTGACAATCCTTTTATGAATTCTTGTGGTCAGCAACATATATAAATATCAATGAAACAGCTGCCATCTTGGTTGATCTTACAAGGGCAGTTGTGGAGTGCTTTGTTCGTCAACCAACATGGCGGCTATTACGTAACATGCACTCCAAGAATTCTTGGAGTACAAGTATTATGTCTTGGCTATGGTCATGATGGATAATATGATCAGAAGAAAACAAAGTCAAATCGTTTTTAATTTTTTTCTGCCAAGAATGCCTTCACGCAGGCTATGACACCCGCACTAGTAATTACCAGACGAAACGATGCGCTCGTAAAACAACGTTTAATTCTGTTTCTCTAATTATTTTAGCATTTCAAACAGTTGACAATAGATGTAAACAAGTGATTACTTTTTTACTAACGTATGCATATCTATAATTTGCGTTTTATTCTACATAAAGTTCTCCTTGAAGGTTCAGCTCCTGCATATTCGATCCACTTAGCGTTGTCTGGTATGCCTACTACGTGAATGTCCTCTTCATCATCGTATCCGCTTGCATGGGCTACTTTGGCATAAGGCCATAGATTGTCATTAAAACTCGGTAATCGCCACTCGGGTTCGTCTGCATAGGCGCATTTCCACTGCGTGCTTGTGACTAGGCCATCTGAAAACCCACCTCTAATCAAGGCACCACCAGAATCTTCATCATTATTTCTCTTATAAACTTCAATCGAGATTACTTTTGTACCTCTTGGCAGCTGGAGTGAAATAAGAGGGTAGCTCATGAAAGGGCATGGCTGGAGTACAACTGGCACTGACTGCCCTTCTTTCGTGATCATGTGAGTTGGATTACCATCAGCATAAATGGATATGGAACCACTGGTACACGTGACATTACCTGTGACTAGACATTAATAAGCATTATTACATTAATGGATTGGTAATATATTTGGGAAGTTAGGGTTGTGATCGATGGTTTTGAAAATCGCCCAGGTTCTTCCTTTGGCCAGTGACAAGCGCGAGCCGGAGCAAGTACAGCTGTACAGGAAAAGGCAACCTCCTTGGTTTAAAAACATTTTAAACAGAAAAGAACGTTTTTATTAGCCAGACAAAGGTAGCGTCCTCCGCAGGCTATCCCAAATATTCTATATTCCTTGTTGGGATCCCTGTTTTATGGAAGAGAAGAACTAGGAACGAGATAGGAGGAGAAGAAGTGTCTTCGCCACAGGAAGCCCAAGCAGCAAAAAGAGCCAAGAAGATGCCTGGGAGGAGTCCAACTCGAAGGTGCATTCTCGTACCCAGACCTTTCTCACCAAATAATCGAAGGCTCTGGAACTCACTAACCGGAAAACCCAGATTCTAGGTTGTCAGATACGCTCATGCTCTACTTATTTTAACTTCCGGTATATATGAATTCAAACCGTTTTTTTCCTTCAAAAGAAAAACAATCAAGCTTATTTGTACATTGTTTATGGAACAGTTCATTCGTCTGTGAGTAATATTCTGAAAAAACAAGCAATTTAGCGAGACCCTCTGATGTGTAGTGTAAAATATTCAAATTTCAATCGAATTGAATTTGTCTTAATTTCAAAAGCAAAAATACATCTGCTTGTGAATCAAAATAAGCCTTGATAAACGTCGCTCTTAAGCTGTTTATTTTTAAGTATATTTGCCATTCAGTCATTTACTGTGAAACCAGCGAACCTTGAAACGGATAATCGTGCAAAACAATTAAACCAACCTAATTAACGTTCGATTACCAGAACCTTCGATTTTTAAGAAGGCTTTGAGGAAGAGAATGACAAATGTCCTTTTTCAAATAATGTCAAAAGATTATAATTGAGCAATATGAGTGCGAATAACCATGTTATATCATAGTCTAACATGCATGTACATATTATACCCATGGACTCTTTGTCTTGATCTTGATGTGAAACCAAACATTTCATTAATCTTGGCTAAACGGAATAAAAGAGAAAGGAAAAGTGAATGAGAAAAAAAAAATCAAAAATTAACGAAAGGACGAAAGAGGAAAGCGAAAGAAAGAAAGAAATCACACAAGCGAAATGATCACTTGACAATTCATTTTCCATAAAATATTCATAAAAGTATTCATAATTAAATGATGATTTCACTAGAAAACTTGTTGGCCAATAAAACCTAGCTGAGGAATATTACGTCAATAGTTTCTACTAATTAAAGAAACAATTATTTGATACTCACGTCACTAAATCAGATGAAACATTAAATGTAGAGTGAAATGACAAAATATATCGAAAATGTAGCGATAAGAAATCAAGTTACAAATACTTAAAAATGTTTTCACTGCTTGACTGCTATGTTTACGACAACTAAAAATGCTAATTATTTTGAAGTTTTGGAGGAATATATCAAACTTTTTCCCCGTCCGAGTAATATTTTACATATTACTGACCTGGTTTTCTTTGAAGTGATGAAAAACGCAGTGTTTTTGGTAGCGAAGCGCTTCGTTTTGACCACACAACTGTACTGTATCTAAACCACAACTGTTTAACTCACAAACCCCAGTATTTCTCTTATTCTTGCAGAAATTATAAGATAGACATTCAGAGGTAGAAATGCAGAGCTCCAGGCACTGAAACCAGTCAACGTGTAGAAGAGTTTTGATGACAGATCCAGTAAGTACTGTATCTTCATAGCTAAACGACTGTGAAGCACAGGAAATCGAGATGATCCCATAGAAAAAAATCATTTCTTTCAGAAATAAACCCATGCTTTATAATCGAGATTAGTTTACATCAGATGCGGTGGAGTTATTCTGTCTGCTTCATCTCCTGATTGCCGGCTGAGTTTTGTCTTTCTTCTTGAGATTTTGTCATTTTGCACTGTTGACTTTCTTTCAGAAAAACAGGAAAGTTTTAATTTGTTTTCGAACGACTTTAGAATTAGGTGACATTTATTTCCTGTGTATTGTGTTTAATTCTGTAGTACCACTGATGAGTAAAATCAAATGTCAAACGTTTATTCAACTAACGAACTGGATATTGGCTTAAATTATAGTTACTAGATCAAACCATTTCAGTGCAAACAGTTGAAGGAAGGAACCATTCATTCTGATAATTGTGCATAATTCGCCGGTAAAATAACATGATTGTTTTAAGTTAAATGAGGAAAATATCACTCAATTAAATACTGCGATTGTTGGATCGACTTTAGACGCATGCGCAAAGCCTATTGCCCCTTGGTGAGATAGCCGGGCATCTGGGAGGCTCCCAGGACTTTCTCTTCTGGCATTTTTTCAAGATGGCACCCTGGGAACGGCGAGGTTGTCCTCGAGACTGCGTGCGTCCTTTGCGCTGACCGTGAAGAATGCAGGCTCGGGTAAAGAGACTGTGAGCTAACAATACGGGGAAAGAACGTTTGTTATTTGAGAGGAGGGCTTGGACTTTATGGGGATGGTCATCAGTAAAAAATTTTTTTTTTTGAAGTGTCAAACCTTTTCTCTTTGACGAAAGCTGTTTCCTCGTTGACTTGATAGGAGGGTCATGAATTTCTGACTGAGTGAAAGGGGAGGGTTACAAGCACTTTAAAATATTTTACTCCTCCCCCCTCCCTATAAAAAAGTTTTTTTCCTGAGGAATCATATTTCACATCATGACGTGTTCCTTTATTTCCGTGAATAACTACACGTTTATATCAGACCTAGTATTGCGGGAACCAATTATTGCCTCAGCTGAGGCCAGTTTATAAAAGATTTTTAATACATAATTGTTTCAWGACGTGTTCGTGTTGGTGGGGAAATAGTTATGCCTCTTTAATCAAACAATCACTTCTCTAAGTATCCAATTACAACTGCGTAAGCTAATATTGTAACATCTCCCCTTTTATAATGTTTGAAATACATGGCTGGGATGATATAGAAAGATTTTAAAGATTTAAAAAATAAATGACCAAACAAAATGGCTGACTAAACTACGAAATGATCATATGGATATTAAAGCTCAACTGTAACAAAAATCAATGTCCTATAAATGTTCGGTAGTCAAGTAAACCGATCAGGTTTCTTAACCACTCTCTGACTTCTTCGTAGTACAGGTGGATTGACCGCGGGTTCTGACGCAGGTAGAACTTGAGGTGTCCTTGCACTGTCTGCCTCTGGTGATGCTTGTGTGTCACTAGCTGGTTCTTTCGGTGCTTCGTCGACGGGCTTTAAAAGCTGTCTGTTTCGGCGAAGTAGCTCTCCGTTCGACTCAACTAGGTATGACCTGTCTGAGAGTTTCTCTTTACAGTTCCCKACTTCCCAGGGCTTGCCTCTCTGGTTTGGCGCTACTCTTACCTCTTGGCCTATTTCTAGGTCTGGTAGGACCTTTACATGTCTGTCGTAGTGACTTTTGGCTTTCTGGCGCTTAAGGTGGATTTTGGTTGTCACACCTTCCGCTACTTTGGG